GTGGCATGAGTTTATTTGTGTGTGTGCAGTTCATGGTTGTACGTGGGCTGGGATACTGCCATGGCGCCCACACCTGGACAGGAGGACGATTAGGGTCCTCAACCAAAGCCTTTGGCTCAAAAGCCTAACTGCAAGGCGGCGATGTTCGGCTGGAAACCAAGTTACCTACCATTTTTCTACGGAACACGTCGCCATACATGTTCTGACCCCCAACCTGGAGGGCCAGGAGACTGTGTTCGTCGGACCCCGATGGATCAGACTGTGTTCGTCGGACCTCTACCGATGGATCAACCTGGTATGAGAGATTCTGCGAGCATCGTGTGGACACTCCCCAGTATAGCTCAATGGGTCACCGAGGTACACAAACCCCCACACTACGGTAAGGTCCAGTCTCTTCGTGACGGTCACACTGTATCGATAACCGCTTGTTCCCCGCAACGCTATTGTTACATTTCGCCTGGTCAAAAGATGGGCTGACAGCTGACTTACGTAGTAGGTGATCTGTTGGACGGTCGGGGGGAATTACCCTGTATTATACCTGTTGCGTGCTTTACAACGTTTCTATTCCATTTCCCGATTGGATTTTCTCTTCGACAGTCCCCACAGTGAATCATCACTATTCTACGGCGGTTTTGCTGTCAGTGAAGATACATATGTCTGTTTCGTTCTCATCAGGTATGCCGAGCTGGACCTAGGTGTCTTCTTCGCGCCGAATCACCAAGATAAAACACAGGTGATTCTACTCGTTCGGATGACACTTGGCCACATGGTGAATAAAACAATGTCTCCGTTTGGAAATTCGGTATGCTGATCGTTTCGAACTCAACAGGGATTCATGTCCCACGCACTACGTTTTCTTTCAAGGTTTTCGCTCTACACAGTCCGTTACGGTATAAGTAGATGAAAAACAAAAGCAAGGCGCTCATGTGACCTATAATCGATCCATCAGAAGCTGTTGGTTTAACGAACATCTTGTAGACAACCAGAGTTTCCATGAATTATGGGACGAAAGTGGAATTCCAGAACAAGCATCAACCACAACAACTCCACTGCGGACAAACTTCCATAACTGTGAACCTGCAGCCTATCCACAAACCAGAGACTGGACGTTTTTCATTAACACCATAAGGTTGACGGAAGTTTGGGGACTACTTGATGAGCCACAAGGGAAAAATCGAATGTGGGCTGTCAAAGAGTTCTCAGCGAACTTTTGAGTATCGCGTTACGCGTGGATAACCTCGCAATTTTAGGGTTGGTTGTTTCACTTCTAATTGCCGTGACTCGCTTTATGTGAAAGGCGTTTTTGGGGTTTCTATAAATACTCCAACCAGGTGAACAAACCAACCACCGAGTCTGGGTATTTTCTGTACCCCCCTCCAGGACCCACAAAACGAAAAACGGTATGCTTCAAGTACGAGCCCTACCTTACACCCAGAGCCTAATCGTGCAAAAGGCGCACGACCGAGCTCTTATCCGACCAGATGCATGGGTTTTTTTTCCGCAGTGATTTGTCGATGTTTTTGCCGCATCTACCCGGACGCTGTAAGGCGCTCTAGAGGACCGTCGAGCGACTGGATGTATCGATTCGTGTCACATGACCAGAGCAGATTCACAGCTCGTTCGAATCATTTTTAGACGCATACTACCGGATTTTTCAATCGTATTACGGCTGCTTCGGCTGTAATCAAACCGCGCCGTTGGGTCGATACTGACAGTCTGCTAGATACGCCGTAGATAACTTGAAACGATTCATTTGGATTGGCCACGTGACTGTCGCCAATAATGCATGACGCAATCAAGATTTGGTGAGCCAGTGAGTCTGGTGATGTTCCGGCAAAACATAGGTTCACATATTCATGTAAGATAGCATTGCGGGTACCCAACATGTTTGGCTAAATGACTGCTAACTGGACACCTTTGCAAAGGTCAAGACAGAAGGTTGGATTGGATGTTCAAATATGCTCTCTAATAACCGTTGGCTCTGAGCCGTTAGCCGTGTTCAGTTCCAAACTATCCATCCGTAATTTCAATTGATCAATAATCTCCCCTCGTGTAATGGCCGTCTTTGGTTCACGTGGTTGTCTCGTCAATGTGGTTTTGTCTAGCGATAATTTGACTGTCACTAAACAACAGAAAGCAATGAACTTATCGGAACGGATGGTTTTTGGGTCTCACTGAGTTCAAAATCAAGTGGAGGCTTTCATTTAGAAGAATAGGATGTGATTACGGGTTTTTCAGGATAATTGGTAGCGCCTTACAGGCCAAATTCAATCTGAAAGATTCGTCCAGTAGTGTACACACCTTGAGAACCCGCCGTTTGATAAGCTGCCGTTTGGCTCTTTTTGAGATCATGGTATGATCTATGCACAGCCTGGGGGGCTAGAGGCCGCCTATTTGTCAACAAATTGAGTTCCTCTCTTATAAGTGTCTAAGAGACTCAGCTAATATAACTCAATGAACTCAGTTGAAGTTCCAGTAGATTTAGCTTACCTTCCATAAAGTTGGATGTGACGTCATCTCCCTCATTACTGCCTTCTTCATGAATCCGAGGGTATGACGGGAGAAACGTTTGATTTACGGGCTTGCTGACTTTCCGAGCCAGTTGGATCAATTCTTGTTTGACGATAGAGGAGGGAATTGAAGCCGAGAACAAGCGTCTTCGGTAACTGAAATATGGCGAACTCAACATGTTAGTTGTGAGCACATCGAGATTATTTCAGGTAGATTTTGAATTGTGGTATCTGGTCCAACTGAACCAGATTCAAAACCTACTCTTACAAAGACTCTAATGCATGATTGCGGCGTATGAAATTATAAGCCCTTTCAGGGATCAGACCACTCTCAATCTTGCTCCTATTTCTAGAGTAGGACGGTTGCGAATGATAATTTGTCATCTTTTGGTGAGAGAAATTGAAATATGGTGCTTGTAGATAATCTTGGCGTGTTAAATTACGACGTATCGCTTGTAAACTCTGAAATCTAAGTCGATACGTCTACGTACTGATTCATTCAAGGGAGGTTACTTAGGACTGAGGTCAAGACCTACGGAGGGCCGATTATAATCCTCTGAGATGTCGCTCCCCTGGGACCAGTTATACGTCACAACCCGTCGAGATGCCCTTTTTTCAGGTTGATTACTGTTCGCAGATAAATAAAACATTCCATTTGAAATTGAGTCTTTGTGAAAACTGATCAAACGGTGACTCTTGATAAACATGCAATCCATCCAGCTTGACTAATTCTTTCTTTGTCTCGTCAAACAGGATGGATGAGTTTCGGTCCTCCGTCTGTGGACACTGGATTCCTAATGCATCGTACACACTGTCGCCATTTGTCTTTCTTCTTACAGCAAAAATGCACAGTTATGCTGTCATCTGCTATGGCAAATTTAGATAAGTGAGACGTAAGACACTATTCATAAGGTTGCTGAAATCTCTTCGACAGCCCACAACCAGTTTCGTCCCTTTTGGGGCTCATCAGATGGGCGCACTCCCCAAGTATCCGTCAACCTTATGTTCTACTTGAACCCGAATCGCACGAAATTAGCCTGGTGAAGCACATTCAGTTACTTAAAAACATCATAAACTGGAGATTCAGCTGGGTTTCAGGGGAGTTTCCCGTCAACACCAAATTTGCTTGTATTCAGATAAGGGAGATGCAGTGGAGCATTTAATTGAAGCTGGTTTGAGATTCATAAAGTATGTGACATTTAAGAACGATTCGAATTCAAACCACTGCAGAATCGCCCATGGTCTTCCTCGAAATGTTTCGGTTACCGTGGCTAACCTTGGTCGGGAATTCAAAGCTGCATCGATTCAATGCCACGACTCCATCCTCCAAGTTAGCCTTCCAAATGGTGGCTGTCCGTCAGACTCTATTTTCTTTTTTCTCGTGAGGGGCTATTCCAGTCCCCTGGAGGAGTGTGGGATCCTGTTTATCAGGGAACGATTCCACCTCCTCAAAGGAAAGTCATGAATTTCAGGACGCATGAGTTAATTTGTAAGACCTATCAGGAGTCACATAGCGGTTTCCGTTGACCTAAATTGGGAAAATATTGATGAATCAGGAACCGCTCACATCCTAGTTAAATCCTGTTGCAGAATTTGAATTCGAGTATAAAATGATACCGTTGCCACTCGATAGATTTATGGAATATGTCCACATGGGAAAGAGCGCTACGCAAGTGTGTCTGGTTCCTGGATTCAGGTGGCTTCAATTATTTACAACCGGTCATCCTGCAGCTCTGTGGTTCAGTGGTTTCCTAATGTCCGGAATAGGATTACGATTGATTACTCTTTCCACAAAGACGAAGTTTCGTGCGATTCCGTCTTCTGCCCTTGTAACGCCCCGAGAAGGACGAAACCGGTCGTGGGTTGCCGAAAAGCTTTCAGAAACCTTATGAGCAGTGTGGGCCACGTCTATACAGTAAGGTATATTTTGTTTTTGAAAAATACAGTCATTTAGTTTTCACGAGAGACTCAACTGAACCTCCGGTTTATGATGTTCTACAACTAAATGTGCTGCACACAGCCTGCTCCATCATAAACGAGAGATACCGTTGAGTCTCTCGTGAAAACCAAATTGATTTGCAAATGAGTGTATTTCTCTAAAACAGTGCAATTTGGGTTCAATTAGAACATAAGGTTGAAGGGAAATCGGGGACTACGCCTATCTGATGAGCCCCAAGAAGGACGAAACTGGTCATGTGCTGTCGAAGATTTTTCAGCAACCTTGTGAGAAACTTCCTTTATGAAAATATTTCGTTTTGCTTCGTGAATAGGCGAAGAAAGCTCATGCTGCAAAATGTGAACTTGACATCATTCAAAGTGCATTGGAAAACGAGTTAAACTGTATACGAAATAAAAACGATTGTTAAGGCCGCTATGCGGATTTCAGTATAACTCGGACAATTCGCTTTGAAGCGGTAACCGAGACATAATTGGGATCATTGATATTCAGTCAGATTTGCAGTACGTTTAGGACAGAAGTCATTCGTAATAAAAAACATCTTAATGTAGCTATCGAGACGCTTCCAGACATTGAGAAGTACATGTGCAAAGAACGACGCGTCCCCAAGGTCACCATCGGTCGCACACGTTCCGGATGGCAGGCGCGTAGGCGGAGCTCAGCAAACACAGGCTTAGCAGCATAAGACCAGCGGACTGGGGGTGAAACTGTTCACGACCGGAACACCACCATTGGCCGTATAGAACGAGCAAGTGGACGATCGCATTTACGCAGCAGCTCTGTATGTTTTGTCCTGACAACACAGCCGTGTCCAGGGTTCTGTCTTCTTATCGCGTAGTCTGGCAGGCGCAACCAATAGACGGTCACCCACGACACACTGGTATAGTTCCCTATAAGGCTATAAAATTTTTCCACCTTGTGGATTGTGGGTCCTGTACTTTGCCCCCGAAATGTGTCCACCTCCAAGAAGAGTCCAAATCCCCGCTTCTAGCATTATCCTCTCTACGAGAGAATTATTAGTAGTCGTCGCCTGCGACAAGTAATCCGGGATGTGTGGGGGTTAGTGCAATTGGTTTGGTCTACCAAGACAGGCTACTCATTCAAGCTATTTATGTGAAAGTTAGGACTGATAAATAGATTCATTTGCATGTTATCAACGGCGAGAAATGTGGTCATATTAAACCACAGTAGTAATCGATAGTTCATTCGTGTTGTCTATAGCCACGAGGTTTTGTCAGTAAGAGTGAAAAGTTAAAAAGTCAGGTCATTGTCATCATCATCAATAGCTGTACATCAATAGTGGTACAGTAACCCTAACTGCCACAGTTTCGTTCAGCTGCGCATTGAGGGTGGCAGCTGATATAGTTGATGCGCCAATTCAGGGATGTCGGTGTACTTTTTTGGGAGATGAGCTGTGCAAAGGCAACAGCTTGAATTCACGAGAACCACTGAAGGCATGACTTGTTCATGTCTGATAATGTCTCTAACAGACGATGTATCCCGTCTCGGGGTCTCATCCAGAGAGACGGCAATGGCCAACACAACTGAGTTTGCCGGTGATGGCTTTCACTTTTCGCTGTCAACTACGCTGACATGTTTTTAAGCTTCTGACTTTTCGATGTCCACCAGAGCTCTTGGTCTTCCTTAGGATCTTCACTGTTCGACTTTTAGGGGATTTGCATCCGCCATCGTACTCGTTGCCTGCACGTTGTCTGATCGTTGCCCACTATCGACCTCGACGATATCCAGTATTCTTGCGATTGAATCACAGAAGTTGGACGGACAGCACTGAATGACGCTAGCATAGCTTTCGCATTTTTCAATGTCGTATCCACGTGCTCGCTACCAATACAGTGCTGGCTTACTGCATAGAGTAGTTGAGCAAGCCCAGTTCGTTGCTGCTGGACTGTGGCAGTTCTTCGAAGATGATAGATTGGTATGTTTCTTGTTGAGATTTGAGGGAGGAGGAACAAACCATCAGGTATTCACGCACCATAACATGAGCGGAATCGAGTTGTTTGGAGCAGAGGGAACGGCGGACTTTACCTGTTGCTCTACACTGGTTGCTGATGGCCACGTGATCCAACTGGGTCTACGGCTGATTTGCATTTGATCGCTTCCAGGTTACGTGATGCGAACGTAGGTAATGAAATTCGTGTTCAAACCACACAATGAGTGTGAAGATACTTTACTGTTTTAATAGAGATTTCTTCCTGGAAGTGAAGTCATTCTATCCTTAGAAGCCTGGAGGCACTGTAGAGTTGCTTCATCCTGACTGGCAATCATCAGCAGTGCGCATCTCAGGAAACTCCGGTGGAGGCCTGGAACCCACTGCTGTTAGTTTTAACACTTAGCATTTTGACCACGAGTGGCTGATAACCAGTGTGATTCAATCGCACCTATGATATAGTGTCACACACCCCTCCATCACAGGATCCATATCACATTGTCACATGTGTGGCCTGGCTGTTCGAGTGGCGACTTCTTGGACGGAAGTTTTACTCATCGGCTAAATTTTATTTTTCCTCTAAGCTACTCATAGACCGCTGAGTGAACCGGTGAGCGAAACTTCCACCACTCTTTGTTCGAGGAGGGTATCTTGTTATCAATAATCCGGGCACTGGAAACAAACACAAACTGCGATGGTCTAAATTATGTGGATACCGGTAAATGCTACCCACCAATCAAACCTGCCTGGTTTTTCCGATGGGACAGGATTGTATAGTGATGCTCAGTCTCCGTGAAGACAAATTGTATAGCGTAATACACTATCGATAAAGTCGCTAAAAACTCTCTGACAGCCCACGACTGATTTCGCCCTTCTCGGAGCCCATTAGGTAGGATAGATGCGATAGTAGTTTGTCCACATCAAGAATCAGCAACGGTATTCCAAACGTCAAACAATCTCATGGAAACGAACAGTTTAGTAAATAGTTCAGTGTTTGAATTGACAAAAACCTACATATCGACAAACTGCTTGATGGCACAATGTTTCCGAGCAGATGGTGAACACTGGAAGCTCACGTATTCTAGCTTCCGGATCAGTCCAACAACATCCAGAATAGGATCGTTGACTGGTTTAAGACAGTGTTGTGGAATTACTACTCGAGTTGAGCTCGACGGTTTCTGTATCGTCACCGGTGGTGTTTCTCTGGGTTCTGGAGGGGTAAAAGAAGTGTTAAGTTTGTTTAGTACATTATCGACGGGAATATCATGGTAGTTAAAGGTACGATTTACGTATTTAGGATAAACCTCATGTTGTACAAGTTACGGTAGTGCTAGACTGCTTGGTCGACTGGTGTGCTGTCGAATCGCAAACACACCAGCCACGTAAAGAAGACCGACCCGGACGGAAGCCGTGTGTATAAACAAGCTGCAAAAAGTGAGTTGGTGTTAATTATGGGAGCGAAACACTGGTGCTCATTAGATAAGGTCATCTTCTAGCCTACTGGACTAGGCAGATTCCAGCAGCCACTGCTGTAACGGCGGAGACTACTGGTGAGGCATGCGAGTAGCCTGTGATCTCTTCGGAGCTCCGTCCCGCGTCTACGGGAATATGAAGTTTATAGAGAAATTGTGGAATTGTTTTGCAGTGTTCATTTACAATTGTGCAATAGTCAATGGATATCCACGAAAGTTCAAGAAGACGAGTAAGAATGTTCAGGTTTGAAAAACTATGTGCATATGCGACGTTTACCTTCCTGTCCAAATGACTTGTAAATGCTTTGTTTGTGTTTGCTGAAAAGTCACTTTGCGGCGGAGGGTTTTCCTCCTTACACTACACCTTGATGTGTCGAAATAAAAACTGGGTTCAAAATCATGAACAATGAAATATGGTGACGTTCATTTGCGTCTCCATTAACACCAAATTGATTTGCCAAAGGAGGGTATTTCCCTAGTCGTGCACAATTCTGTGTCTAATAGGACTCAAGGTTAACCGGGACTCGGGTGTTCCATCTACCTGATGAGACCCAAGAAGGACGAAACTGCTCATGGACTTATAATGAGTTTTCAGTATGGTGTGACACATAAGTTCAATTTTAGGTTATATGTATGTTACAGGTGACCAAGTTGACCACAATGAATTTTTTGGTAACCACATCATTCTAGTGGAAACACAGTTATACGAATATGCCTAAATTGAATCACTGTTCACATCTAAGTTGGTTGAGTGTTAGTTCATGAAACACTCATCATCTGGTGTGTCTGATCTATCTGGGATTAAAGAATTCGTTGAAACTTGATCTTCACGAAACGTGGTTTACGTTGCACGCATCCTCCGAGTTCCTGTCCACCCATCTGCCTCTGAGAAATTTAGGACCGGGGGTTCAGTTCACCCTTGGTACTGCACGGATAGGAAACAGTTTCATCGTAGGACTCCAATTTCTACAGGCCCTAATTACATATAGATGATGGTTGGTAGCAGAAACACACAGACATGTATAAGTTGGCTGTGGGCAACCAATGTTTCATCTCAGCTTTCTATTTGCACCTCGTGCTGTGGTAGCGCATGGTAGCTGCGTTGTACCAAGCGATTGACAACATAATTACTAGGCTTGCGGGTTGATCTCTGACCAGTTATGGATAGTTTGCAAATTGCTTGAAAGACCTATTTATCTTGGTATTATTCTATATCTTCTTTTCTGTGTAACACTGTACACAAATCGGTAGTCGAATCAAGTCATCTTTAATGTTCTGCACAGTTCCCAATTTCCCTATCCATCCTTCCATCCTACTCGGAATTGCGCGCTGTTATTTTGACTGACACCGTGATATTCATCAGGCGCCAAAGGAGATTACTAGACTGAAGCGGATTAGCTAGAATTGTTCCGAAGATAATCCGTATACTTACAGGAACCATGGTCGGGCAAGTCACACCTATAAACTAGTGGTTGAATGAACCAACCTGTTAGATATATCTTGTGGCCTGGTAGGATATAGACCAAGCAGCGCAACATCTTCGGCGTACCTTGAAACACTGCAGTATTACACAGGATGTTCCTAGACTCTAGAAGCCTTTGTACATCCAACATCGTCGCAGAAGTTTAGTTATCGTCATTTTTGTCCACAAAAAGCCATGATGGTGAGTAGTTGACTGAGTCCAGCACTATTTCTAGATCAAGGAAGACGATATCTGCTATTCGTCTGTACTTGTGACAAAGAGGTGAAGATACCGTCATGGCAAACAAGGCCTGTACGGGAATATGTCTGGTATGATATTTCAGAATCTGTTGTAGTCAGGCATTGTAGTGGCCTTCTAGGATGGTGTAAAATTCATTTTTAAGGCTCTAGGATTGTTCCGACAGGGATATGGTCTGGCGATGTATTTGCAAGAGGACTGATGACCGATGGTCACTCGTTTGGAAAACAACTCTTTTGATAGTCTGATCTGAGAGCATTTACGCAGTAATCTAGACTGCAAGATTGAGTTTTTATTTGCCCCGTTTCAGCGGTTCTACAACTGTGCGGCAAGACGACTGTTTTGCAGCCTAAAAAGCTGAATTCTGCAGGCTAAAATTTTCGTTACGGTGAACAGAACCCACCGAAGCAGGATAAAGCTAAATTTACGTTTACTCAATCACGGCTGACGTTCCAAGGAGGCGATATCGAATTTCCTCGCGACTCAACCGAAATCTGCAAAAAAGGATTGTTTCAAAGGCTGTTCTGTTCAAATTCGAGAACAATCGCCTCCACAAGTAGTACTAAAGCAAGGGGCAATGGGTCTTTCTCAAAGTGACCTTTTTCAAACAGAATCACCTGATTTCAGACGATCAACTGGCTTATCTGTGCTACCTCATTTCCTAAGGTTTCCCCAAACGAAATCATCCCAAACATGTTGAATCTACCGACTTCGAGGTACACTAAAAAGCCCCAACTCAACTCGGAGGTCCTCTTCATGCGCATTTGACAAAGACAAAACAAATGTAAACTCACGTGTTTTTGTCATTCGTGGTAAAGTGTGTTGAGTGGTTTCTTTTTCCGAGGGGTTAAGTCGAAACTGTGTGAAAAGGAATGGAAAGTCTTGTTTTCGATCTCTGTCTCACAGTTCCTGAGTACATCCTTAAATTAGAGTTTAATTCCCGATTAATCTTTGCTTATAACTTTTTTTTAACCAAATAAGGTAATAAAATAAGACACCAATTTGGCTAGCCTTTGACGAAAACTAGAAATCACCGGACCACTTCAAATGGAATTCCATTGTTTGTTGAAGCCATGATGTTTCTGTGTGACAAAAATGTAATCCTGTGGCAGACAAGATTTCGGTCTGCCAAGGATGTAAATCCACGATGAAAGTATTTTATTGACTGTCGTCGGTCGTGCACGTCCCATGAAACCCCAGGAAGATCTGATTTCGCATTTCGTCGGTTAGTGTTCGAAAACTATACTATTCGATCACGAATGGCAGGTGCATCATGCGGTTAACTCGCAGATGCGTCATAGTGCTCAATCACACGGTCATGTCACGTCATTCGATGCTGCACCATTTTCAAACCTCATGGGTTTTGCAACTTTTCATCGGTTAAGTATACCACGGTCAATCAGAACGTCGGAGCTAGAGTCCAATCATATGTAAAGTGGTCACTTTCTGTTTTAGTTCTATATCTAGTTCAAAGAAACGATTTAGACCAAATGTTTGTAAAGACTATTTACCTACCAGTGAAACTTCATTTGTCATTGACCGAGGACGGGATATGTCTGAAGTATGCTTTGTGACAGCATCTGTCGACGATGAAAGCCGAAACTGATCGCGTATCTCCCTCAGACGTAGTTTTGCTTGAGTTGCCACTTGCCGGGCAGAATCAAGCTGCTTCAGCAAAACTTCCGTCAGGTGGGACGCAACACCTAGTTTCAGAGGAAATCCAAATGTGTTGTTTGGTTGCCTTTCGAGCAGTTGCAATCACATTTAAACTGAATAAAGATCTGTGCGAACTTAAAATCAGAGTTTTAGTCAAATTTAAATTCGCGTGTCATCAGACATACTTGAAAAGTCACGGGGGACTTTACTGCAGAAGAAAAGTGGTGTACGGGTGAGCGTTCCGGTATCTGGCGGTAACCCTCTCACAGCATGCATTCAAGACCCAGGTCAATATCTTCGCGGAGGGTGTATAGATTTTATTCAAATATAGAATACTCACTGATCGCTGGCAGTCAGATAGAAGTCTTGTGATTGTCAACTCATTGACTGCATAGATTTTTCCATTCAGAACTTCCAGAAATCTTGCGCTGCAATTTTATTGGGTATTGTGATTATATTCTGAGAATATTTACCTGTTTCATAGAAACAGTCAACTGAGGTTTTCGTTACAGAGGTTTGAACTCGTCTATCTCTGCCACACTGGTGTACCGCAGAGCACGACAGTCAGTCGGAGATTAGGACTACCAGTTGAGGAGTCCACCATCCACACTACACGGAGGCGAAGTCAGCAGGGGACTTGGAACTCCGTGGTGTATTACCGACTGTACTGCATTCCGTCTATTCACGATGAGTAGGAATGATATCAGGTATTCCAACGCTTGCTTGTTTGCGTCAGAGTCCTAAGCAGCGGCTTACTCTGGCTAACTACGTAATTCTGCGGAATGCTAATCACAGCCAGATACTCTGACTTCATCACGTGGGGACCACATACCTCCTCCGGACTTTCCCTGCGTCACTACTGCGTCGCCAGTAGTGAAGATTGGGCCTTGACATCTACTCCGAGAGACGACTTTCTCGCATTCCAAAACTTCCGTTGTTTTCGACTTTTTTCTGGCGGTAACTTTGAAATTGGGCACTGTTGTCAAGCCTAGTACACTGATACTGAAGAGTGCAGCCTTTTTATCTTACAGAATTAGCAGCTGAGTAGTGATGCCTGTATATTGAGACTGTGACCTTTGTTCCACAAGTTCAGGGGTTACGGTGTCCGGAGTAACGTTTAAAACCTCTCCGAAACCAACGGAGTTCCCCAGTTACGCTTTCGCTTGTTTTTTCATTCAACTTGTCACCGCCGACAGCATAGAGTTCACGCTTCGAAAGACCGTGGATCTAGGGATCGAAACCACGTCTGAGGTAAGATTGATGAACATGGATTATGCCGACGAGATTGTTGTGCCATTTATCGAGTATTCGTCTGGTTCAGCAAACCTGATATCGCAAGTTGTTTCTGCACACGTTTCACACTTTCAAAACGGGAAGCTTTATTCCAGGATATCGCACCCCGTGAAGCCTCTATAAAACTTCAAAACCCGACACTCGTTTGTTAACCATTTATACTCCCGGGCATAAACCATCAGTGTCAAAAATAGCAGAACTACCCATCTTTCTTCAGAGATGAGTTTCGTTTCCGTCCAAGGACATTATACACAAGACAGCTTTAAGTAGGTCTTTATCAAGGGTTGCAAAATCCGGTCTCTCTTATCTGTAAAACTCTTCGACTTTTTGCTCGCTGGTGTCTTCACAGCATAGTAAACGCTAGCAGGATGCAGCTGCAGGGTGCAGACAACTGATAACGAATCAGAATCAACGAACAGGAAATATAGCATATCGGTATAAGCTGTTTGAGGCATGTACCACACATTCCAAATCACGTCCCTAATCACGTTCCTAAAGATGTAAGCACCCTATTCTCTCAGGCACCACTGATGCATCGCTCCGCTCTACTACGAAACAACGTCCCGACAGCGCTAACTTTATTGATGATAAAAACTATGCAAGCAAATTTTACGGCTTAGCGAACAAACCAGCTATTATGTTTTGCCACTGTCAGTGATGACAATCAAGATCATGTTCTGGAACACCTTGGGGAACTCGGATGTCATGTGATTAGGAGTGTTCAGCATCGTTGATCTTTAGAACAGTTTGCCATCAAGAACATAAATTATTTGGTCGGTTTATTCGTACAGCGTTTTCCTTTGAAGTTCCTATAGGGTAGACCTTCCTCGGATAAGTGAGTGGATGCTGAAAAAGTATCAATCACAGCTGAAAATCAGGACAACCAAGCTAGATGGACTAAGTTGCGAAAGTGGTCCCTTTCCGGACGTCTGATATGATGTGAACAGGCATTTCGCTTGCGAATTGGTGTGCCTCAAAATATTATACCGGAGATATTTTAATCCTACAGGTTTCTTACTATACTGTACAGCTGCTCCTTCGAAAGAGGCCAACATTGCTGTCTGGAAGGTAATCTTTCTCAAAGAGACCCATGAAAACCAACTTCAAAATAATTAAAAAAAGCTCATTCCGGAGAATGAAACTTCGGTACACGCCTCTGATGAAATCTTTTGAGTTTATATACTAACTGAGGTTGAAACTACTAAAGGTCGTAGTTGGTCTTCCTACCAGAATCGGAAAAACACTGCACCCGCATTTCTGAAATGCAAACATGAATTGTGACGAAGATAACTGAAATGCAGTACGAAACGGATAAATAATTCACAAGCTGGTGTGGCCAGTTTTAGCGTGAATGATAAGAAACTAAACATGTGAAAGATCTTCATACCGTGTACAAACAGTACCACACCGTACGGGGTAAATTTCATCAGGTGTTTGAATCAGTGCCTCACCTATGGCCTGATGTAATACACAGGTTTAAAGTAATTAACAAAATTGCCCAAAGTAGGTATTCCATTCGAGTTACTCAAGAAAGGCCTGATAGAATTTGGACTGAATGTACTTCAGAAAAACAGGGATAAATGGCTGAGTTTCGAGAATGAATGAATTTTCGACCGAAGGAGGATGCCTCAAAAGGTGGTCCGTTATCCCCCGCAGTGTTATTCACCACAAATCAGGGGAAAAACGGGTACACTTCTCCCTTTTTTCATTGAAAGGCACAGTAAATTTTTACCTGCTAGTTGAAAGGCACAGTAAATTTTTGGTGTACCTGCTAGTCAACCTAAGCGTAAGTTACCACAGAGATCCTTACCTGCTCTCCGGTACTGTGGAACGGTTAAAGCTTTATGTAGGAGCTATCCTGTTCCAGGCACAGGCTTCTAGATTAGTGAGACCTTTTTTGCAGAATATACGGTATACACATGGTTCTCATTTTCAATAAGTGGGCATGGCCCACTCTTACTTGTTCATGCTGTTTTATCTTGAATGGTTTTGTGCACAAAAAGGTTGTGATGAAGGGTGCTACTGCGGCAGAGATAACTTCAAATGAGAAAATGATTCAGGTCCGTTTGGGGCATCTTCCTTATTTTGGGAGGGTGAGACTCGCTGCGGAAATTCCGGGTCTTTGAAACTTAAGGTGTACAAATCACAGTCAAGCTTTCATTCGCATGCCAGCCCACCTGTCTGTCTGTCCGCCTAATTGTCCACCTCTGTTTCCTTCCTACTACTTGCGTCATTCGTATTTACCTGAATGTCTTAGTTTCCAAATAATCACGAAGTGTCCATTTCCAGAAGACAGTTTTGAATCACTTACCAATGATATCGGGACGTTTTTGTGGGTCGCTCGTCAAACACACCCGAACTACGTTTTCCATCATCTCAGAATACTGGAGCTTGGAGACACTACTCACAGGTTTAAACTGTCCACCGACAATTCTGGAGGCCACGGTGAGGATGCATTCGGCTTGAAATGGGGGTGTGTACGTGCACATTTGATATAGTATGCAACCAAGTGACCAGATGTCAGCCCCTTCTCCATAGGGCTGGTTTTGTACTATCTCTGGACTGTAAGAAATTCAACCAAGCGTGAGCGTGAGAAAACTTCATTACAGACTTTATAAGTGAATCGATCAGGATGAGTGTGGAAATTAAGCTGCGAACCACAACCGAATTCGCAATGAATAAGGCCAGATGATTACGGAGCTACTTGTAGGCAAGGTAGAAAGAACTGGACATATGGACGTGAACACAGTAACGAGCAACTGGTTGTAACACGTTCTGGAAATTCGATGTGACCAAAGTCTTCCTGGACATATTTAGGGTTGTTCGGAATTATTGCACCAGAACAACAGCTCCGGCCAATAAATTTAAAAGACTTGACCGGTTAACCACAAGTATGATTTTCCAAGATATTTGTGTTCCGTGCTACTCACGCCACACACCAGTAGTATGTGCCCATCACACCAGCGAAAACTGTACACTAGAGGTATGCATGTAGTTCGTCGGAGTACGCTCTATTGTCTTACTGTATTCTATTGTGCTGTCTCTTATAGTACACCGCATTAGATGGGTAAAAATAATGTCCTGTGAATTTGATTTTATTAACACATATGTTTATCACTCATACCCAAGCAAACAAAGAACCTCAGCAGCCTTGACCATCCGGAGTGTTATGTTAAAGCGACACTAAATGTAGCCCTCTGTAACGATCGTTGTACGAACTGATGGTTGATACTAGATAGCAATATGTGTGTTCCAGAGTGAGAACCAGTAGATGATTTCCACTGCAATGTAGTCCTAAATGTTCACACTATGGGCATACTGGTGGCTCTAGAACTGCCCCCGGCTTTCCAGGCTCCGGTTCACCGGGTTCACACCGGTTGAATGACTTTCATCCATTTGCACATTCGGCTCAACGCAAACCGTTAATACTACTACTCATTGGGTGTGGTTGTTCTTCCGACTCGTTCTATGTAGAAACGGATTCCAGCCCACAAAACTGGCAATTCAACACAAAACAAGGCTAGAAGTGACCCTTTATGATCAATGATTATGATTAATGGCCGCGACTACCAAGCTGTGCCTAGAATAACTCTCTGTAGTGGCGTGGACTACCCAATCGCTCTTTGCACCTCCTCTTGGGCTCGAATTTTCCATGCTACCCAGTAGACCTAAAAAGCATAGACCGTCATTTTGGAGTGTTGATGACATTAGAACTGCCTCTCCTGCTTGATCCATCAGGTTATCACCGAGCACACTGAGGTCGACTGAATGCAGGTCCGGTTCAGCTCAAAACGCATGTGGCCATACCCACTGTGCGCATATGTTAGTCAACTTTGTTGGGATCCGCCACACCATAAAATGTGTTTAATTGCAACCCACATGTATGAAACAACGTAAAGAACCTAGTAGTCACCTTCACATCCGAACACCCATCAATGTGCGTGGGTTACTTGTCAGATAATTCTCATTGGCCCAGAAAATGGCCTGATGCACTCTGATGGGACGCACAGGTACAATCATTTTGGTCTCTGGAGACTGTTATACAACAAGCGTAGAACCTACATTGCGCGTCATGAAGACACCTTATATTGATCGCGGTCATCAGCTGCAAAACAGTTGATGTAATTATCCAAACTTAGTGGAGCTTTAGACAGCCTTCATGCTGGAGATGTCTCCCACAGGACAGAATGCCCAGATTGTCCAAGTTTTACTCCAAACAGGAATATGTTTTACAATTCTAAATTGCACTTTTAAAGTGTTGCCTCCCTAGAGAATGTGGTTGACTTGTACTATACAGACGGTATCCGTAGGCGATAAGGATGGTTTGTATAAGGGAGGGTGCCATCTTGCAGGTGTTCTACATAACAGTCACAATATTACTGCACAAGCTTCTGTGGAACACTGGATGTTGAAGACCGTATCCTAATGTCTTTCTGTTAGGCAGACAGAGTGTACCCCCCTACACGAGACTGTCCCTCAAACAAGAGAAGCATTTTCCTCTCCTGGGAAGTGGCTCTCCCTTTGGGAGCAGGCATATTACACAACATTCGCCATTTTTCTTCCTCAAAGTGTTTTCCCCGGGATAATAACTATACCCACAACCTCGTGGATGTCGAATATGAGTCAAAGCTGACGAAACTCTGGCATCTTGGAGGGTGATCTTGCATGAACTGACCTTGTCAGATGGAAGTGTGCGTATCTGTTTGCATACAACCGCACTAGTTACTTTAGATCATGGAAACGTCTGACGATAAGTGACTGGAAGATCTTCGTCAGCTGCTAAGGTATTTCCTTTAGAAGGATTCGTCAATGTAAATATAAACATTGGGGGTCCCATCAATTCGATGTTTATGTCATGCATAAAACTTTGAAATTCTCAACGAACCCTTTTAATCAAATCTCTGTGTTCGAATCGTACTATGCGTATGCACTACCTGGAGGTCACAGGTTCGGATCTCCTCAGAAAATATGAAACGCGCACAGTTACTGGTTCTTCACAGGAATGGAACATCTTACAGCGCTTCACAGCTTTTCGGCCCAAGTTAGTTTCGCCCAGCTCTATCGCCATTTCGGTGCCTAGCTGCCATGTTACCGGTGGGAATAATGAGGGCAGAGATACTGACAAACCTGAATAGGAGCAAACGAAAAGCTGCGGATGCGTTCAAACCACGAATATTCCGGTCAGTAAATGCGGTTTTTAACCACTGAGATATCTCGACCTCTGATTTGCGAGTTAAGATTCTGTTTCCCGCTGAGCTGGGTTACCACTGGTGGGAAATGACAGGAATTAGACTGATATTAGCTGGATTAGCTTGATTGATATATTAGCTCAAGTATTTCCAAGTTAAAGTCAGCGAAGTGACTGTGCACAGCATTCTGAAATGAGAAATGTTGTTGCCAGCACAAACTTGGTCAAAGTGAGGCTGTTACTGGAAATTCGATAGACATCACGACGTGGACCCTGGTGGCAAACTTCTCCCAACTAGGTGAGCAACTGTGCTTTCTATTACTAGGCTGTTGTTTAGGCAGATGTTTTGCGAAATATCTGATCACATCAAGCGGTCTCGTAATTAAAAGGACTTTTCCTCGATCAGAAAAATCATCAGCAAAGGCAACAACAACAACAGATGAAAGCACTATAGCTGTCGAAAAATTTTCAGCAATCTTATGAGTAGTGCATTACGAGTATACATGTATCGCTCCAAACGTTGCTCGTGCTTTTGCCAGAGCTTAATCAAGGCGTAAGTCGAAATTTGATCACTCGACAAGACTTGCGCGTAAAGAACTGCTCAAAGTGGCTTAATGGTTGAGGCGCGAACTTACTGACCTGGAGGTCTATGGTTCCCACACAACCTCTGTATCCTGACTGTTCCTGCCTAGGCTTGAGCAACCTAGCAGTAGCTCAGCTGTCGTGCTTTCTTCGGGTGGTATGGCAGGGCACTTCAGCTGGATCATTATTACTGTGTGTAAAGGAAAGATGACGTTATAATACCTTTTAACGCTGGTCAGGCACAAAAGATGTTCCATCTGACTGGTGGGAACCTTTTCAGATAAATACATCCTGCATATTCCTGATAATTCTCACTTTAACTGAAAATGCCAGCTTTGTAGAATGAGACAGCGGCGAAAACCACACTTACCATGAAAAGGCGAGGGTTCCAACCGAAGATGTCATTTTGGAGGAGTCCCAAATTTTTTGTTTGGCTAATCCAAAATCAGTGATGGTAGCCTAGGAAAAATTGTGGACGAAAGAGAGGTGTTGTGGACAGTCACATGGATTCGATTCAATTTAACAAACTGTCATTCGGCATCATCCGTCTGACAATTATGATCACAGGCATGTATTTTCGAAATGCGTGGCATGGTCTCGACGATGCGGACTTTATTTTGACCACATCACTCACACCTGGACAGGGTCAGTAGGGGAAACAGCAGACAGTTTCCGCCACATTCGATTACTCTTGTTTTATGGGAATCACCTCTCGCGAACTGGCCATTCGACCCTGATCGTCTAGAGTACTTGGCGATGTCTGACTACTGGTAACTTAGGTGTATCCAGTTGACATTTGATCTGCTGTACGAGTTCGGCAAACGTTTCGTTACGAGTGAAAAGACATCGCCAGTACGCGAGTCCCCTCATATGGTGGTGAATTGTTTGGAAGTCAAGGTAGACGAACACATCAGCTGTTGCCTGAGCTACAACCAACTTCAATACCTGTTTGTTGATTGGGAACGATCAAATAGGTGCACTCATCAACACCATAGTGGAATTCCACGGGTGACCCGAACAGCTGTGCTATCAGCTGTCATCGTATTCTGCACAAAGAGGCAATGACCCATAAAGGTTTTGCCAGTTTATAAGTAGGGATACCGTTTAGACCTGAAGAAAATTAGGGTGACGTCACACAACAGTCTCATATCGAAATCTGTCGTTAATTCTAATGACAGAGCATCCCGAGAAGGTGAAGGACTCAGATCTCAAAGGCGAAATTTAGGATTCGTCGGGACGCAAGACAGTAAGCACCCATCAGTTTTTGTTCCCGTTGGAATTTCAATTCGGACCTTGTACATCCGAGGCTAATAAACACATTCTTGCCCTTTACCCCACTAAACCAACTAGTGGGGTTTCCTTAGGAGTGATGATTCTCGAATTTCTAGGATCTTACAGAGCATAGGCTATATCCAGGTTAGAGAATATTGCGTTTAGCCATCTTAGTTAAACAAAGTTCACATGAAATGCATAAATTCCACCCGGAGGCAAATGGCTATTTGCGCCATAATAACTGCCGGCAAATATGTGGTTGTTGGTTGTTCATTTCCTAGTCAAGCACCACTAAACTGCGACCCGATATAGAAAGCATGTGTTCATTGCTTCTGGCTGACAGTTTCCTCCCTGTTTGTGCCACATAGTCTTTGTCACAGTATTCAATGCAAAAACTGTGACAACGAACTGCTAGAAGAGAGAGTACTCACTCAACCAATCAGATGACAGGAAAGCAGACCATGGCGCAACCAAAGCCATTGACGGACCAATCAGGATGCACATTAGTGACCATCAAGGGCAGTATATAGCGAGGTGGTCGAACGCAAGAATTGTAGACTACGACACAACAGGGACCGATGAGCCTCCATATGGGATGATTATGAATGGCCAATTGGGATAAAGACCAGAGCTGCCTTTTGAGAACTGTGTAGGCACAAGCTCAAAAAGTGAAACTACACACTCAGCGACGTATTGATGACGTCTCCTCGACTGGTGATGAAGTGTCTGCAGGCTAACTGCCAAGCTCGGTGGACACACCAACAGCCATCTGAAAAATTACCAGTGATTGCACCAGAGATGCCAGTGTCCCAACACTAGCACTTTTCACGTGCTTTCGATAAACTGGAGTGTCTAGGGTTACTCGCATCACGGGACTCAGGTTCATTACTGACACCGTTTGGTCTGTCTGATAGGTTTCAATAAGAAAACATATCGTTACCTACTCATATGTTGCATGCGGTTATGATTCATTACTCTTGATGAGCATTACTTTGCAGAAGGTTTTTGAGAACTATTTGAAGACTTTTGGCCATTATTGCTGTCCTTGGGGCTAACCAGATAGTCGCAATCGCTAAGTTTCCGTCAACCATATGTTCTACGATATCGAAAAATGGTACACGATTTGCGAAACACGAGGACGCACACCAACTTAGGTTTCATTTGAACCTGTAGTGCCTGTAATCCGTTGTCACATTTACCATTCTTCCTGAACTTAAACCGCACTTTGTAACTGTCGTTCACATTGCATCACGACGTTTGTTTTAATGTTACGAATACACAATTTTCCGGTGCGACCTGCTGACTTCTTGTCGAACGAGTGTATTTACGCTCCATTGAACTGTTTGTTGACTGCTGACCCAGTGGGACTAAATCTCTGTGTTTGTGCCAACTGTTGAACGTCACAATAAATCCTGGTGACATTTTTTAGCCGTGAATAATTTTCCTACCGTGGAATATATCGCTCAGGCGGAACCATCTGCGGGAAAATTTCGACGAGTGAATATTTCCTTTCACAGCCAGTTGCTGCATTTGGATCGGTGTAGTGGACTATATGATCTACACATTCGTGAGTCCCCATTTGACTACTCATTCCTTTCCCATTGTGATTTTGTGATTTTGTATTGGTTACTTTGCTTGTTAATTTATCCGAACACGCTGATAAGGTCCTAGTCCGCTGCAAACATTAGCTGAAACACTTGTTTATGATGTTCTTTCGGTTCCTCCGATTCGTCGATATTTCCCTTTTAAGTGAACCAGTGACTTTTTTGACGGCCATGACCTTAGCATTCCCAGCGCAAACCCTTCTCCATAACCCTTCGGCCCCATAAAAACAAGAAAACGTGACTTTCCACATAAAATTCCTGCAGATGCAAGTATATAGTTTAGTAACACACAATATATTCACCCACTTTATCGCCTTCACCTATCATGATGTTATTCGATGACAGATCCCGGTGCACGATTCCCTTTTCACGATGCAGGTATCTCAAGGCCAAAACTAGTTGTGTGAATACGTGCCAGATTCGATCCTCCGTGAAATGTTCGTTCTTTTCTTTCATCGAATTGATGAGTTCGGTTAGCGAAAGACCTTCAAGCATTTCCATAACAATGTATAGTCGATCACCTAGAAGGAATTCGGGACGAGAAGAGAAGATATTAAGTATAGTTTAACAACTTTTAGGCATAAATAGCAGATTCCTCCCGTCTTACAAATCAAAAACATAACACTCCTTTATTGGAAAGCGGTCTGTTCGTGATGTCGTTCTGATAACCACTGATTGGTAGTTGACAACTCGATCCAGATGGTGATATTTTGACTACTTAATTAAAGGTGGATTAGTAGTATGTCGCCGAGTCCCTTGTAAATAAAATCTTCCGAGTCCCTTTACAGACTATAAGTGTAAAATTCATGATTACAGGAAAATCGGTGTACAAATATAGTTATTTGGTTTCATTTCCTCCGCTAAAAATCAAACGGGAGCAGTCCGAATATATTGACTTCGAGAAATTGCCTAATTGGGGTTCCAAATAAAAAATCCAGAATCTAGCGGGTTTATAAAAAGTCCTTCTATCAGCCATAGACATGCAGGCAAGATCAGTATGCAGGTGTTGTTTCAGTATTCCAGAAGTACTGATGAGAATTTTCAAGTTGATCAAACCATTGTCGGTTTTCCCCTCCAGCGTTTTACAGTGATCATCTTATGCTGAGCACACAAGTCCTTACTGAACAAATCCTTGGTATTTTATTCTCTTTGAACTCTTCTCTAAGTATGGAAACGATTTAAAACACACGTGGGCATCCTTTGGGTCTCTTTTTGTCCTGTTCTGTCGAGATGCAAAACCTGAGCCTTTCTGTGGAGGACCTCCAAAATTTCCCCACAGTCGTTTCACAGACTGATCAATGAGTTCAACCATAAACCGCCCACCATTTGTTGCTCACCACACTTATCAGGCGAACAAAATCAGGTTTAGATATGAAATCAAAAACATCCGTATAGTTGGTGTTTGGTCATGTTCGGGCTGTTTACGCTGTGGATCAAAGTGAGTCTTGCGCTCAATTAGAGGAGAAGCGTGTCGGCCTGAAAGATTCAAAAAACAGAAATACATCAACAGATGTTTTCCCTGAAAGCGCTTCGCTTGATAAAGTTACTTCTCAAGAGGCAACGATCTCACACGAATAATGCTTCAGACACTTTAGAAGCATTTTTTCTTTCCGGATGTTATTTAACGAAGCTCCTTGTAAGGAGGACGTTCAACACTTCAGAGTTTGTAGGTCTTCCTCTCAGAAAACGAACTAGCATGGTCATCGTTATCACCACCATCATCATATTCCTTGATGGTATCCATGAGTGTTAAACAATAGTACAAATTTGCACAAATTTGCGATGCTTGATGCTGACGGCGCCGGCTGCGAGTAGATGCTGCGGCGAAGACCAATGAAAGCTTAATGAATGGGCCCACAAACAGGGTGTCATTAACGTGGCAGAGAAAGAGGAGGAAAGGGTGTATGTGACTGAGAGAAAATAGGTGTCGACAGCGACTTATATTCGCTTGCGCACCCTTCTGTATGCAACACGGAGGCGACATAGCTGATAACATCACCCGATGGCCACTATGGAATGATAGTAATTATGGTTGCAAGTATCTCAATTGCGCGCAGACTGGGACACTTTCAGTGCTGCCATACCTAAACAGGAGGTCGATCTGGGTTCTTAACCAAAGTCTTTGGTTCAAAACCTGACCACGAGGCAGGTGTGTGTGTTGAAAATGCAAGTTCATTACACTTTTTAAAAAACAGGCCGCCATATATGCCCCAACTCATAGCCAGGAGGGCCAGTAAGCTGTGCTGATCAGACCTCTGACCATTGACCAACTTGGTATGAGAGACTCTGCGAGTGCACACGAAAACGTGCGAACATGTGCCTCAATGGATCAATGAGGAACACTAAACGTCACATGTCACGTAAGTTCCAGTCTCTTTGTGACGGAACTAACGTGTTAAGGGGTTTTGGAATGTTGGTGGATTGTGACAACGATAATCATTCTAATCGATGATTGAACCCTGTATAGTATAATGAGGAGAGAAACTGTAGCTGGAGAAAAAGTCACGAGCAGTATCAACTTTACCGTTTTGGCATTCGAATTTACCTATGGGAGAAATGGTGTTCACTCGAAAGACATGCAGTTAACTGTTGAACCCTTCGCCGAGCTCGGCAACTCACTTGCAAACGCTTCGTTAACATTCGAGGGGACATCGTCAATGTGTGGATGGGTGAGGCTGCGCACCGACGACGTTCCCTTGAATCGTGGTGAAAAGTTTGAAAGCTCGGCAACCAGATCAAAAGTCACCCGAACAACTACCGAACTCCAACATGTGCATCCCCTAACTGGAGATATTTGATTGGGTTGTGAAGCCGTTCGATTTTTTGGGATAGTGAGCACATTTTCCCAAAATGAAAAGTTATATCTAAGTGGTGGCAGGAATAGTGCAATTGGCATTTTTAGAAACGCATCTATACCGATGGAAGTACAATTGTCGACAATATCGAAGGGAATAAGTTATCCCGAAATATTCATGCTTACCATGAAGAAACGTTTTGTAATATCGTACGATATTTGGATGCCGCAGCTGCTGTTTAATAATGTTCACCTCATTCAAAATATTTCGGACACTTTGCTGCCGCTCTTGTTCAGTCCGACCAAATATTGCCTGTGTGGTATTCACCTAGGGGATAGACCGTAGCAGAAAGTTGAGAGAATAGAATAAGCATAATTGTGTACGCCTGCTCATTAAGTATCACTTCCTGGTTAAGGATCAGTAGTAGACTAGTTCTTCCATTCGTCAGTTTGCACTTCAAGATTTAGCAGTCCACAGGAACCGTCTACGGAACAGGCTATCGGGGACGATAAATGTTTACTCACTAACGTGTGCGTTTTCTGATTTCCTAGAACGTTGGTCACCCCAAATCAAGTAGCTTTTACTGCATTATATAAGAAAATGTTCACACACAATTATGTTCCACACGAATCCTCCTGGACAGAGTGGTACCGAATTCCTCAATCCTGTGTGACGCAATCAAGCTTTTAGCCGAATATCTGAGTCTAGCGATGTTCCGGCAAGAGAGTCACCCACATATTCTCTTAGCAGGTTGTCGTTTCGTCTTCCTATGAACAACAGCAGGATATGGAATACACAACCCAGCATTCTGGGTTGGTATCCTGTCATTGAGCAAAGGGTTGGTTGCAAACCAAAAACGCAGAGCTACAGCCGGAGAGTGCGTTAAAAGGATGAAGACATCCAACGAATAACAGTGTCTTCCAGCAGGTTGGCTTTGTAGGGTAGACCCAATTAGTCTGGCTTTAATGCAATCGTTGCGACAGATGATTGGATAGGAAGTTATAAAATAATGCCAAAGACTCTGAGCATTTGAACACTGCGCCTCAGTTCAAAGTCCACTGTATCCGCAAAGCGGATTCGCCTCACTCGTCGCGTTGAAGGGTGGGTCAGGATTCATTTGTACCGCGGTGGCATAAGATTACGGGGAGATATCGTGTTCCGTCCACGCAGGGTTCCTGTAAACGGACCTCTGATGTGAACTCGCGAACAGTTCAATAAATGAAATGCATTATCATCGTTGCTTTCAAAAGTACATTGAATCATTTTAAGTGGCGCTTATTTCCTAATTGTCTGAGCATAGTCTAAAAGTATTACCAGAGTACGTAAATTAGGGAATCACATCATCCCCCAGGTTTCGTCACCAAGTTTTCAGCGACTAATTCCTCTGTGGATAAATCGAAATCAATCAACACTCAGAAATCTGCTGAAGGCAGTTGCTTAGAAACTGTATCCAATCCGACTATGTTTCATTGAAGCGACATCCACGCAGTCAGATTGACACGCTATATGAGCAAGCGAACATGCCCCACCAGCCAGTCAATTAACTATAAAACTTAAAGGATCCTTCAAACAATTCATTGCAGGACTTTCTTCTTACGCTACAAGTATAGTCATCAACGAGCTGACAAGAAACTCTACCAGCTTGACTAAGCTCTAAGTAAAGAACAGCTGGAAGCCAAGTTCTCCGAAAGTCCAAACGGTTACGCGCACAACTGTATCGGTTTTGCTCTCGATGGAACACCACAGTGGGACTCCCCTCTGGTGATTTGGTCTCAAAATCAACAGCTAATATTGACAGCCTTAAACCCAATCTAACTTATTGCTGCTGTTAGTACAATAAGGTGGTACGTAAAATTCCTTTCACTATGTAGCACTACACGCATTAAGGGCTCGATGGAAGAGGATGAAACACTGCTACCAAAACATGCGAAAGGATGACTACCTTGAAAACCTAGTGCCGCTCTTGAGTGACGTTTCAAAATCTAGCCAAAGGCAAAAGACCAGATCCAGGCAGTTGAGGAGCAGCTGAAGAACAATCTGAAATGTCAATGGAATCAAAATCTAATTTTTAAAGTCTTCTTCTAGCGTCTCAGATCTATCGGTACCATTCACCACTGAAAAGCCATCTATCAGAAAGTGTGGAGAGAAAATTCATTTGCCGGACACTCCGTGGAATGAGCGGATTCCAATCTTATAAGTGGTTTTCCCTAGAACAGAGCGTATGCTTCGCTCGACCTAACGAGGAAGGTTATGATCTACAGTTCGGGATAGTAGACTTCCATTGTAAAGGTCTCCGTAATGGGTAAAAATCAAATGTTACATTCCGGTATAGAAAAGTGTGCTGTTATGCAAAACGTTTAAAATAAGGGGGATACTGTCCAGATAGAAGAGCTGAAAAGTTTAATCACAGGTGATTCACTTTATTGGGGGTAAGTTAATCTATATCCGCTAATTACTAGCACGGTTTTGGCCAGGTAAGGTTGATGAGGTTGCTCAGATGGACTGTCAGGATGAAACCTGGTTTTGTGTCCTTTTCATTGGACTGAACTTATGTAGGTGTATCCTGAGCTTGAGATAGCTCATGGATTAAGGCGCAAGTTTACTGACCAGAAGGTCCGAGGTTCGAATCCAACCTCTGCATCTCGACTGCTTCTGTTTGAGCCTGATCAACGTGGAAGTTTCCCAGCCCTCGTAGCTCCTCTGGGTAGTGTAGCAGTCAGAAACCCAACCAGATTATTGTAAACAGTCCCTCAAATCGATCAAAAGACAACCCATTCTCTCTCACTTTAACCTGGAGGCATGTTTATATATGAGAGAGAATCACTTTACATGAACTCGGAGGAATTCGGTTCCACTGGTATAGTTGATGGTAATACTGTTTCGACTAAGCTGTTTCCTGTAAAAACCCACCGGAACAACTGCGTCAGGACGGACAGAGGACTCTCCAAACGAGACCAATGTGAACGGAATGCTTCCGTGTCTTCTTGACAGGCGGCCCAAGTCTACCCATTGGAATCCGGATTATTCTGTCCTAGTTACTTTCAAAAGCGAGTGAGTAGCGTTCTATGAAAAACATGTTATGATTTTTGCCAAAAATAATTTTTAATGACAAAATCTAGTTGCTAACTTAAGCCTAATCAACAGAAAAAAAATGTGACACCGTTTGCAATAAAATTAGCGCAAAACCGGTAGTTACCATGCTTTCAAGGATTCCGAATTCAGCGCCCCATTGCAAAGTGTCATGACTATATAACCCACACCATTGCATAACTCATTAACTCGTGATTCTCACTCTATTTTCAGCTCATGTACTACAGTTATTAGACGATTAAAGCGTACATTACGTCTTCCTATTCTGTCTCCTTTCTAATCCCGTCCTAGAACTACTCGACTCTCGCAACAATTTAATCGTCTAATAAAAACGAAATGGATCATATTCTCCGACCTACAGTTTTTGATGCTGATCCTCACTCATCAGATGGCATGAAACGATGGATTCATTGGTTTCGTACTTTCAAAGCTTACATTAACTCAGTCAAACCCGAAGGTCTAAATAAATTGGAAACTCTCATTCGTCACATCGACCATACAGTGTATGACTTCACTGCAGAATCCAGCGACTACGGTTTTGCGATAACCTTGCTGGAAAAACTTTACATCCGCCCGAAAAATATCGTGTATGCACGCCATCTTTTAGCCACATACAAACAAGAACCTGGTTAAGATGTCGACCAATTCGTTCAAAAACTGAAATCGCTTGCTAAAGACTGTGAATTCAAAGCAGTATCTACTGTGGGACATACAAACGAAGCAGTTCGGGATGCTCTGATAACCGGATTGCAGTCGAATACCATTCGGGAGCAACTGCTAACGCGGCATGAATTAGACCTTGACAAAGCCCATGAAGCCGCGCGAGCTCCCGAACTTGCACAAAAACAGTCACAATCATACGTATACAGACAACCCGTTACTTGTTCGGTATCTACTCCTTTACCCATTGTTAATTCCGAAACAACAGTTTCGGCCGCTACACAACAAACATGTTACTTTTGTGGCAACCCCAAGCACCCTCGTTATAAGTGTCCCGCTAAAGAATCAGTGTGCAAGAGTTGTGGAAAAATTGGACATTTTCAACGTGTCTGTAGGTCCAAAGCCTCGAAATATCACGCGGGTTCAGCTCAAGACTCCTCAATCTCCTCGCTATTTTGTGCTGCTGCTCCCAATTGCCTATCCAAAACTACAACAGATATTTTGGTCAACGGCGTTGTTGTCCGAGCTCTCATTGATACCGGCAGCTCCAGAAGTTTCGTTTCTTCATCAATCCTGCAAACTCATAACTGGGAGCTATTTCCGTACGACTCTGTGATAACAATGGCGTCGACGATACATTCATGTTCCACCAAAGGTTATTGTCTTGTGTCCATTCAGTACAAGGATGCTATATACGAACGTTTCAGACTTTGCGTATTACCGAACCTTTGTGCAGACGTCCTTCTCGGACATGACTTTCTGGGGTTACATGATAAAGTCGAAATTCCATTCGGTGGTCAACGGGGTACCCTAACTGTATGTGGCGTAACATCCGCAAAACTGGAATCTCCATCCTTATTCACCAATCTTGCTCCAAATTACAAACCGATCGCCACAAAATCTCGTCGTCATACACCGGAAGATGAACAATTCATACAAACGGAAGTAGACCAAATGCTTACCGATGGCATAATCGAACCATCAAATTCTCCGTGGAGAGCACAAGTGCTCGTTACCCGCAATGCAAATCACAAGAGACGCATGGTGATAGACTACAGCCAGACAATCAATCGCTTCACCTACCTTGACGCTTATCCTTTACCAAGGCTCGACCAAATGATTGAAACCATCGCACGCTACACTGTCTACAGCACACTGGATCTCCAGAGTGCATATCATCAGGTTCCAATAATCGAGTCAGACAAGCCATTCACAGCGTTCGAAGCTGGGGGGAACCTATACCAGTTTCGGCGCATTCCTTTTGGAGTGACAAACGGGGTCGCGTGTTTTCAGCGAACGCTGAACAATATAATCAAAGCCGAACAGGTAAAAGACACATTCGCTTATATCGATAACGTCACTATATGCGGCAAAACGAGAGATGAACATGACCGTAATCTTAGGCATTTTCTCGATGTCGCAAAAACATACAATATTACTTTGAACGATACAAAAAGCAGCTTCGCAACTGAAGAGATTACTCTCTTAGGTTACAAGGTCTCCAAAGGTATTATAAGACCTGACCCAGAACGCATGCACCCCAGAAGAGAACTCCCACTTCCAGAGAACGGGAAATT